GGAAAAGAGGAAGACAGGTATGGGAATGCTGGAGCTATGGAAGCTTGGTGTCTTCACACTGCAGAGCAGATCTTCCCCAGGCAGGTCCCTGAGCCTGGGGAGAGTGCTGGCTAGTCCCAGCATCAGGGGCTGGGTCTATGATCCCACTGGGCTCTGGATATACAAATACCTGGGAACTAAACTTGGACAGACAGGGCTCCTACATGGTCCTGCAATGCTAGGTACTCTCCTGCGATGAGCTGAGCTAGAAAGCACAACAGCTATTACTATTAGCTATTACAACAGCTCCTCCCTCCCACCTTGAAAGCTGCAAATGCACAACGGACTCACTTACCTCCTGTCTTCCTCGTACTTGGACCTGGAACAAGAGAAAGAAAAGATGACTCAGATTGCAAAGACAGAGGCTCGTCCGCCTGTGCAGAGGCTGGGGGAGGGTAAGTTCTTTCTTGGAGGAAGGGAGGGTTGGTGAGGGAGAAGAGGATGAGTATGATAAAATATCCCATTTAGACTCTTGGTCACAGCCCTAGAGCCTGCTGGGGGCTCAGGGGGTGACAGTTCTCATGCCCTTGAGGAACTCTATTAGCACAGAGCTTTGTTGATAGTGTCCTTCTAGCTAAAAGGAAGGGCAATGTGGCAGATGTGGCCTCTTGGTTGGTGTCTGCTTCAGCCTCTGAAGTTATTATGGAGGAACAGGGTTCTCTTTGTATCTACTTAGAACTAAATCAGAAGGGCGAGGCTGACACTGAGGCAAGAGGAAAGAAGGTGAGAGAGCTGAGGAAATACCTTGAGGCCTGATTCAAAGAGATCTATTTAAAAGAGGAGAAAACGTAGGAACAACTAACGTTCGAGTCTTGGGCCAGGCACTATTCTAAGCTCTTTACACGTTTTAACTCCTCTGATTCTCACACGAACCCACGAGGTAGGTGTTATTATCCTCCTCAGTTTATGACACCAAAGCTTCACGACTTTAGGCAGAAATCCCTACAAGTGGGGTGTGTATGCTATCAATAATAGCCCCACTGAATTCTGAGGTACCTATAACCCCAAAACCGGCTCAGCCAGGTCTTCGCTCCATTCCTGCAGTGCTGGGGATGATTGCTGTCATCTGACAGCTGGGGAAACTAAGGCCCAGAAAGATCCAAGGCTTGGCTGGTGTTCCAGGTCCGTACGAGGGTTAAGTTTTCAAAGAATATTCCCTCCCGGGGTGAGCTCATCTGGTCCCATCTCCAGCCCAGATCTCTCATCAGATGCCAGGTTCCTACGTGCAGTTGCCTACTCACATCTCCAGTCTGATGTCTAAAAAAGATCTCAAGTTTGACACGTTCAAAGCCAAGCCCAACTTCCACCACAGAACTGCTCCACGTGCCATCACCTTATCACAGTTGATGGTGCCTCTGTCCTTTCTGTAGCTCAGGTAACAAATCTTGGCACTTTCCCTGACTCTTCGCTTTCTCTCACACCCCACATTCCATTTTCAGGAAACGCTCCTACTGGCTCTACTGTGGAAACATACCTAGAATCTGACCTCTTTTTACAACCTCCACCGCTACCACTCTAGTCCAAGCTCCACCATCTTTCACCCGTGTTCCTGTAACAGTCTCCTAACTGGTCTCCCTGCTCCAAACCCTCCCTTGCTCTCCCACGACCTCCGTCCACAATCTAGGCTCACCCAGCTCCAACGGCTCCCCGTCCACCGAGAGTAAAAACTCAGGTCCTTATAATAGTCCCCAAGGCTCTGCCACTGGCCCTTCTGTCACTTCTCTGACTTTACCACCCACTTTCTCAACCTGCTCTGGCCTCGAATATGTCCGGCACATTCCTACTTTGCCCTAGCCGTTCCCTCTGCCCAGAATGTTCTTCACCTTGACGCCCTAACCTTCAATTGCTCAAGTGTCATTTTCTCAATGAGGCTCACCCTGATCACCCCATTTCAAATCGCAACCCACTAGTGCTGGTACTCCTGACTGTCCTCATCCTACTCCATTTTCTCCCCCTAGCACTTACTATTCTCTAACATGCTGTATCGTTTGCTCTGTCTTGTATACTGCTGTCTCTTCCCACTATAACAGGCGCTCCACAGGGAAAGAGCCTAGGACAGTGTTTGGCACACAGTAGGAACTCCATAAATATCTGCTGAGTGGAACTATCAGCTAGTAGACACTACAGAGATCGTCTGGTCCAAACCTTGTCATTTTATAGATGAGGCCCAGGTAGAAGTTGCTTGATCAAAATCACACAGCTCCTTCGTGAAAAAGCAGTACTGGAGGCTAAAACCCCCCATGTCTCCTACCTCCAAACCTGAGAGTGTCCCTAACAAAGTCTCTGATGGTGGGACTTGTATCACAGGCTCCGGTGATTCTTTAGCAAATGGGACTGGAAAAACGTAACCAAAGCAGCTGTGCCAGAGCTCCTTAATAAGTTTGTTTAGTTTCCCGATGTGATTGGTAAAAATGGTTCAATTTCCCTTAAGCCAGTTCTGTCTGCCTCCTAACGAACTTCCGTCACTGAGAGACTCACAGTCAGTGTCAGACACGGTCTCGGGCAGGAAGGGAGGCAGGCCAGTAAGAAGGCCAGAAAGGGGAAGCAACACGCTCTCTGTGTGCCTGGAGCCCATGGGTTGTCAAAACCACCAGATTACTTTAAGGAGCTCCAGGCTCCGCCACTTCCTTCAAATACTGGCGGCCCTCGGCCTGAGAGAGCAGCATGAAGGCAGGGCTGTCCTCATCTTTCAGAAGAAGGATAATCAGGAAGAAGTGGAAGAGAGACAGAGGCTGGAAGATGGACCCACAACATACGTCAATCTCTTCAGCCTGTTCATGGGGAGGGGGTGGGACTGGAGACTCACAAAATATCTCCAAGGGCAGCCAGCTGCTTCTCGGCCACTTGGCGCTCTCGTAGAGGGTCCCCATCCAGGTCCAGCAGGTCGTTTTCACCATACAGGCTGCCCAGCCCCAGAGTGCGCTTTGTTCTAACTCAGAGAGACAGAGGAAGAAGCCAACGTACACAAACGCTCTAGGGACAGACACCCAGAAGGAGTGAGACAAATGCGCACGAACAGGAGACACACACACATCACCGAGGGAAAGAAGACGAAGAGACGGGGTGAGGGGGAGACAGACGAGGAG